TTTTTTTTTGTGATCAAGTTATAGCGTTTATGCATTTATACTAAATGTATTTAGACTACTGTTTTTCATACAAACCCCTAGAAACCACAGCTGCATTTTTAGCTTGGTATCGAGGTGCTGTATGTGTGGCTTTAACTGTGATTATCATGATCTGAATGTATGCTACTATGGAAGAACAATGGTTAATTTTAAGTCAAGCAGTCAGAATAATTATATAATAATTAATACTAATAATAATAGTAATAATAATGAAATTTCACCATATAAAAATGAGGTTGTTACAATTTTTTACAGATGTTGCCGTTTTTGATAATGAACAAATTTACATCTGCATCCAAACTCAAGCTACTGTCAAATGTGCATTTCTAAGAGACAAAATAATGCAATATTATTAATATTACAGGCTGCACTGCAAACTGTGCTGAAGATATGAGTCATCAAAGTCAGGAACACAAACCTGTTACATGATCTGAAACAATATCCCTCATTAGAACATGCAGAAACTAAGAAATTAATTTCTCTATATTGACATTTATTTTGTTAAGGAAAAATGACTGGAAAAGTGTAAAGAATTAAAAAACCTGAAGTGTTTGTCATGTTCTGACCATAAAGAATAGCTTAAAACCACATTTAATGGTCTGGTTTCTACAACTTTCACTTAGGAGCAAAAATCTGCCTTTAAACTTTATTTATCGAGATGATTATCAATATCGACTCTTCTTCACAGAAAACACTTACTGGACTGAAGCAGCTTTTAGAAAAATCAGTGCGTCTCAAATCTGATCATCAGGATCTTTTGAGGAGCGTTTATTTGTTCATCTCTCAATCATCACTGCATTGCATTATATGTTTGGATCATTTCAATCTCATCTTACTGAGACAGATTACTGGAGATATAGAGTGACAACTGATATTTATATCATGTTATACAAGTATCTGCTGTACTGTTATAAAGATCTCATTGATTTACATTACAAGCAGCAAAATTTCATCATATAAATATCAGCATCTGCACCAAATTGCATATTTTTGCTCAGTCTCCGAATAAAACAGTCGATAAAAAAGCCTGATGTATCAAATATGACTATGTGAGGCTTCACATGGTTAAAGGCTTTAAAGGTCCAGAGTCTTTGAGCTTGGTAAAGCCGCATTTGCCAGCGTATGACAGTCATAGTCTAATAGATTAGCCTTTAGATTTAATATGAAACTGTTACTAAATCAAAGCAGTGATTATAGTGATGCTGAGGATGTGTAGTTTGAAAAGTGTGTCATCTCTTCTACTCGTAGGGCTGGGTATCGTTTTTTTCGATATCGATACCGATACCTTGACTTCGATACCGGTTCCTGAACGATACTTTTTTCGATACCAATTTTATGAAATCAATTTTAACAAGATTACATTATCTAAAAAAAAAACTTTGGTTTTATTTTTCAGCTTGTTGATGTTTATACAGACTCAAAGACTCATCTCCTGAGCCACTGCACAAAGGAACAAAATAGTTTTAATAAAGCTCAAATAGTCTTCAGTTTCTAGTCGAACACACCGGCAAGTGCTGCAGGCTTATTGGCTCACTGACGCTGATGAGATTACCCCCTTAGGTATCGAAATTTGGTACCGAACGACAAGACGTTTTTCGATACTCGATGGTATCGAGGCAATTCGGTCGGTGCCTAAAAAGTATCGAACTCGATACCCAGCCCTATCTACTCGTCAGTGCTGTTTAACTGTTTCTCCTCCTGATCTCATCCATATCGCTGTAAAATATAACATGGGTCCGATATGGCTTTGAGGTCTGTGCCAACTCGCGCATATGATCCGCTTCGGATGTAGAGAGCATTTGATTGGACAGAAAGTCTGACGAGAAGCTGAAGTGCAGAGTGACGTCATCAAAACCGTTGATCCATATTGGCAGAAGTGAGAGACTGTAGGTTTTGAATGCTTATGAATGAAGCATCTATATAGCGCTTTATTGTGTATTGCTGTATCATGAGGGGGTCTCTCCTCAACCACCACCACATATCTTGTAAATGTGAATTTTGTCATTGTTTTGGAGCACACTAGCTTCTAGATAACCTTAAGGCCAACATATTTTTGATTTCATGGGGACTTTAAGGCAGCGCTGCACAATGACAGGTGACCTGTGCCTTTAAGGGCGGCAAACTGAATCTATTTCTGCATGTGCAGTACGTCATTCTGAAGATGAAACATCAGAATCATGAACCAGTCAGCTGAGAGCAGGCATCAGTGTTTTGTTGATGGTTTTGATTGTGTTTGTGTGGTGTGAATGAGGAATCCGCTCTCACTCCACCCTGTGTGCGTCATTCCAGCGCTCTGATAATTACAGCTATTCAAACTGCAGATGTGTGCGAGGACGACACAAACACACCCAGACCATGACATGAAGAGAAAGAGAAGCACGTACTGCGGATCTGCCGCTTGATTTCCTTGGTGGGGTCCAGCCAGCACTGCAACACAGAAACACAGAGGAGTCAGTAGAGCAGCTGCTGCATGGCATGACCGACACAGCATCCAGAGACTGTGATCCTGAGCTCAGACTCACGCTTCTCTTCAAGAGAGCTCACGATGCAGTCCTCAAACATATCGCTACCTGAAGCCAATATTAGAATTATTTAATATGAGCTTATTTCTGTTAGACATTTCTTCATTTTGGCGATTGCATTAGATTACATTTAGACTGCATGTGCACTTTGTGTGGTAACGTCTTTAAAAATCTTGGTTAATTAATAGTTAAATAATTTGCTATTTTCATACATACAGCTCATGTAAACCATGATTTCCAGAATTCAGAATCATGGGATCCAGTAATAAAATGCATTGTATAAGGAGAAATGTCACTTAATTTGGCAAGATTTGGATGAATAAATCAAAAGTAGGACCGTACATTTCATTAAATCGTTATATGGACTAGAAGCTTCTGTGAATAATAATAATAATGATCAATTAAAAATGAATAATTATAATATTAAAACCTTTGATGTTGGCCACGCTTCTCTTCAAGAGAGCTCACGATGCAGTCCTCAAACATATCGCTACCTGAAGCCAATATTAGAATTATTTAATATGAGCTTATTTCTGTTAGACATTTCTTCATTTTGGCGATTGCATTAGATTATATTTAGACTGCATGTGCACTTTGTGTGGTAACGTCTTTAAAAATCTTGGTTAATTAATAGTTAAATAATTTGCTATTTTCATACATACAGCTCATGTAAACCATGATTTCCAGAATTCAGAATCATGGGATCCAGTAATAAAATGCATTGTATAAGGAGAAATGTCACTTAATTTGGCAAGATTTGGATGAATAAATCAAAAGTAGGACCGTACATTTCATTAAATCGTTATATGGACTAGAAGCGTCTGTGAATAATAATAATAATATTGATAAATTAAAAATGAATAATTATAATATTAAAACCTTTGATGTTGGCTTTCTCAAGCCATTCTCACACCATTTTGTCTACAGTTAAATTTAAACAATAAACGTCTGATGTGTAGCACTTTGTTTACCAACAAAAGGTTAAAGGAATGGATCAAATTTGATTAGATTGCATTTGTAAAAATTACATTTGTAAAATTAAACAGAATTTCTGATTCAAATGTTAATAATACATTTATAAATGTAAAGATACTCTAATCAATTGAATTCATAAAACTTATTTAATAAACATCAAAACCTAATTAAACCATTAAAACAGAAACCAGAAAAATTAAAACCTAAAACACTGAAATTAGATTTAAAAAAAACGAATTTGAGAGGGGGAAAAAAAAATTATTTGAGGAAAAAAATTAAACCGATTTCATAGGGCCCTCCTAAAGTGACTCAGAGACATGTGTCTGAAACATCTGGCCTTGATTACTGGCTCAATCAGCTGCACTGGATGACTGATAACAGAACTAGAAAACAACATGCCTGGCCAAACCCATGATGCATGAGGCTTTAGCTTAACTTAACGCTTCACCACCAACACCAGTTAAAGGACTAATGTGAGTGATGTGCTACTGATCACAGCGCAGTCTTGTGTTTGACACCAGCACATCAGTATCAGTGTGTGTTTGGTTTCAGAGCTCTGGAGGAGAGCTAGTGACGATGAGAAACTTCACCATTAAAACTCACAAAACATCATTCCAATACAGCGCATGAGGCATACGATATAGTTCTGTTGTTTTTGTTTCTGGAGTTAATGCATCTGGCAGGTTTAGTTCAGCTCATGCACCGAACATGAATCGAACCCATGGCATGGATAATGTCAGTGTGTGTCTGATGTTTCCGTCCGTCTCTCATGTGTGAACTCACCCTTTGCTCAGCGTTGTCTTTAAAGCTCAGGCCGAAGTAATCCTTCTCCAACAGATTCAGCTGCTCGCAGACCTGAAAAAACAGGTACTGGCCTTTCGCCCGTTTCTGGAGAGACAATAAAGAAGAGGAAAGAAGTGAACACACTTTACAGTACAGACGTACACTAACAGCTGAACTCACCATGGAGTATTTGGACATTATTTGTTAAGAAAGTGATATATGCATATATATATATATATATCACATCACACAGATCATTCTGTCATAATTTACTCCCTCCCATGTTATTCCAAACCTGTAAGTAAATGGGGTCCAAATCAACAATGGACGCTATCACAGACTTTCACTGTATGGATCAAAAATAAAAAAACACAATGGGACTTTTTGTTTTTTAAATTCCATGGATAAAGATGATCAGGGTTGGAAGAATGTGATGGTGAGTAAATGAGGACAGAAGTGTCATTTTTGGCTGGTATTTCAAGTATTCCTGTAAATGACTGCGTGGAGTCTCCGAGACGCTCTGAAGCGCCACACACAGACGCGGGGTTATAATGGGCCTATTGGAGCCGCTGGACACAGCAGACAGTCGGTTGGTGTGGATGGCGTGACTGTGTGTGTGTGTGACTCTTGAGGAATGAGAGGCTGCTTCGAGCTCCTCTCCAGACACCAGGAGCTTCCAGCATTAGTCACTGAGGAACATCTGAAGACAGAGAACAGCGCTGCATTCATCTGTCTGCTCCAAGTGCTTATGCACAGTTTTTAACCAGTCGAGGTTTCTCACACCAAAAATCTTAAATGTAGTTATCCATCCTACATCTGTAGGATAAGTAGGAAAGTAACTATGACAGTGCAGTATCTGTTGTCTTGCATATTGTTAGAGCAGAAAATAAAATAACCTGAGACACAACTGCTTGTGATAATGTCACATTGCAATACCAAGGGTTACATTATTTTTCTGATGGATAAAATTAGAGCATGACAGGAAATGTATCTCATTCAGTCAAACTGACAGATAAGGATTTTTTTTAGTGCAACGCTATTATTTGAAATTATTTGTTTCAGTCCTTTAGAGTCAAAGATTGGTAATTTAATACGCAGTAGTCTAGAAACAAATGGACATGATCGTGACATTTGTGCTACTGTACCTTTAAGACTTATACAGTATGTTTAAATGATCATGTTATGAGTGTTATGATTGTCGTGATGTGTGTTTTTCAGTTTGGTTTCAGTAAAGAAGTGTTGAGTTGTGAATGGTACTTTATCTCACAGTACTGTAAAAACAGTTTTCTTCTACATGGAGCGGTTGAGATCACGTGTAGCTGAACACTTTATCTCACTAAACTCCCTGTTGTCAGACACTTCTGCTTATGGAATAAATTAGGAATGGCTGACAACAACATCTGATGCTGCATCCATGCCAGGTGTCAGTGTAAGTCTCGTATCAACTACACGCACATAAACAAAAACAGAGAGAGTGTTTTAATCTGTCTGGCTATGACATGCCACACAAAACACCATAAGCTGCTGTTATGGATGCAATTATACAAACTAATCCCAGTGTTCACTCACAGCAGATTTACTGATGAGTGATCAGACGTTACGCTCCGTAAACTCTGCAGACGCTGCTTCAACACACACACAAACACACAGCTCATGGATTTCAGTTTGCAGTGGATAGATAGTGGCTGTTCCTGCATTAGTGAAGTGCATCAGGTGAATGGCGAGAGTAAACGAACACTAGTCCATCACACACAGCATGGCCACAGAAAGCCGCAGGTGCTCATGGGTGGAGACGTGCGCCCATAGTGTCGGCACAACAAACCAGAGCCAATAACATCCACAGCTGAATCTGTGAGGCAGAAACATCACTTGTGTTGCACAACACACACGAGGAAAGCATGAATGTCAGATGATCCTTATCTAGAGTGAAGGAAGTGACTGTGTGGTAATAATTTCACCACAGTAAAGTGCTGCTAGCCATTAAACAGTGACAACTAGGATGATGAAGATATATGGATGAACATGGAAATAAAGTGCAAGAGATGTGTGATATTAAAAAAAGAGTTATTAAAATCACAATACGCTCCTGTAGAAAATGAAAACTCAATTTGGAAGCTGAACTTGAAACTCAAATTCACAAACAATTATGTCAAAATGCATTTCTTGGTGAGTAGCCATGTAAACTAAGTCTTAAGTGAATGTAAACAGTTGGGAGAAAATCTAAATGCTTAGTCTGTTAATGCAATGATGATTGAGAGATGAACAAGCAAATGTTCCCCAAAAGATCCTGAGGATCAGATTTGAGACTCTAAAAAATGATTGATGGAGAATCAAGTAAAGCTGAGCTGCTTCAGTCCAGCAAGTGTTCATCTGGAGATATGACTGCAGTTATTCTGACGTTTACTTGATAAAAATCAGGAAAGATCTGACAGCAGAAAGACACGTGAAGCTCCAGCTGAAGCTGGACGTTTGTACAATTACACTAAAAGAGCTGTGACTCAAGACTTCAGGAGCAGGAGTATATGCTGTTGTTACACTCATGTACAGCACTGCACAGTTCAGAAGCGTACGATGCGGTGGATTATTATGAGCAAATGCCTAGCAGCTGTAAGATCACATGCTCAGAGAGACATGAATGAGCAGAATACACTAGATCTATGAGAAAGAAAAGAAACCAATGGATCAGAGAGAGTGAATAAATGAGAGACAAAGCCTAAAAGAACATGATGAAAGAAAGATGAATGAGAACAAAAGAAGGAACTCAAACTGCAGACTCAATAATACCATGAATAAATTCATTGTAAAGCAGAGCATCACTGATGGGATGTTTGAGCAGGGTTTACGCAGGATCAGTGGCGTACAGGAGAAACCACAGAGAGTGATTGTGAATGAAGCATCCAAAAATAACAACAACAAAAAAACCACGCCTCCATGAAAACACAAGCAGCGACAGGATCTCTGCACTTACAGCATTAAAAACACAACGCCATATGCTTCCTGCTGTTATATAGGTCACTGCGCTCTGACTGGCTGAGAGTTCCTGTCCATCATCTATTCGCTCTCCAGAGAGAGTCAGAGACTAGAGTCAGTCCTGCCGTCAGGACAGAAACACAACAGATGAAGTGGCAGCGCTCCTAACATGCATGCGGAGTCGTTCAGCCGTCCTGAGAGCCCTCATTGTCCCCACCGGCCCCAAAGAGCATCACGTCTGGAATGCTTTGTGTGAAGCTGCGGCTTATGCGTCCCGGAGACAGTGGCGCTCATCTGTGTGTGTGTGAGTGTGTGTGTGTGTGTGAGTGTCTCTCTATGTGTGTGTGTGTGTGTGTGTCTGTGTGAGTCTCTATGTGTGTGTGTGTGTGTGTGTGTGTCTCTTAGGGCTGTCACGATTATGAAATTTGGCTGACGATTAATTGTCTAAAAATAGTCACGGTTATTGCGATTAATTGTCTGTTTTAGGGCTTTGGCGATTATGCACTGAATAATCCCATGTTGTAGTGGGAAAATCATGTGCTCGTGCGACCAGCTGAGAAAGTTAGTTGCAAAAGAGCAACCAGTGGGAAGAATGAGTCTGGAGCCCTGTATAGGCTATACAGTGCATGAAAAGCAAACTGGTGCCCTTCTGTTTCTTTTGGTGTATGACTCCCCCTTGTGTCGTATAAAAAGCACAATAATCCCGGTTGTCCGCGATTAGACTGTTATTTAATTATCGCGACAGGCCTAGTGTCTCTGTGTGTGTGTGTGTGTGTGTGTGTGTCCAGATCCCAGCAGCAACAGCAGACAGTGAGGGTTGAAGCTGTGGGGGTGTTGACAGACCCCCAATAATCTGACCTTCAAACTCTGAACACACCCACCAGATCACTGCGGGGTCAGAGGTAATCGCACGCATCTGAACGCTTCTGTCAGCACAATGACTCGTCCTATTACAGCTCTACTTCTCAACACACACTCCTTCAGCAACTCTGATTTCATTTTATAATTATATATTTTTAATTTAAGGGGGTCTGAATACTTTCCGTACCCACTGTATATATATATATTATAAATGCATATTATATATAATGCGTATACTTTATTTGTTGAATATCTAGTTTGTCCATTGAAGGATCCATATATCCATGTGTTAGACATCAGTATGGTGCTGGAGACGCGACACACACTGCTGACAGCCTCAGTTATGATGAGTCGTGCTGCTGTGGAGCTGATGATCTATATATAGACACAAATCCAACCAACACACACATATCTCCATCTACACAGCAGGATTACTGTCATCCTGAATTATCATAAAATAAATAGCAGTGAAAGACAAACAGACAGACTGCCGCTGATCACAATCAGACCACAAACATGAATTAGGACAGGAAATGGAGTGCGATTAGATTCTGATGTGGACTTTAACATCCATCCACCTCATGCAAGCCTCACCGGGTCACTTGTTGTAGAGTAGAATGATTTTAACATCACAATGCTAATGTGCACAGACGGGCGGACGTGTCTTACCTCCACCTCACAGGAGAACTGGCTGCCATCCAGCAGGGTCACGTGACACACAACCATCTTCATCTTCTTGTTGACTTTGAGTGCTGACAGCACACTCGCCTCGTGCGGGATCACTTGCTCTTCCTCCTTCGTCTCCTCCTTCACCTCCGATTCGCCCTCTTTCTCCTCTCTCACAGGCTGCACACACACACACACACACTAGGTTAACACACACATGTGCGCTCTCGTGTTTTCCAGTGGAGCGGATGGCTGCTGGATGACATCACTGGGCGGATGCTGGAGGAATGGACAGATGACTGATGGTTTTTGGCTGAAGCGTGTGGCGTAAGGAAGTGTTTATTCTGACGGAGCGCGAGCGCATCTGGAGTCCTCCGTCGTGTTCAGCTTCTGATCTGCATTACAGTCCCATCACACGCGGGTTTATCTGAGGAGATGATGGCTGAACGATCCGCAGTCAACACCAGAAGCACGAGACGAGCTCGGTGCGTCTCAGGACTGCAGCAGTGCAGTAAAGACCACGAGGTCATGCCTGTGTGCGTGAAACTTCTAGCTGTCTGCTTTGAATTCATCCCCTGTAAAGGAGCACTGCATGCACATCAGGACAATAATTCAATGATTTTAATTAAAATATTATGTTGATGAAAATATGACAAGAACAAAACCATTGCTTGATGCATGCATCAATGTTTTTTATATATATATATATATATATATA